ATAATATTTTTGTATACTGTTAGCCAATCATTCGACACCACACCTTGCTGTATGATGATATTCTTCACCCGCCCGTTTCTTGCAAGCGTGCTCACCTCCCTGTCCCGCTCCGTCTGAGCCCGACGTCGGTATCTTGAGGCCACCTCTCCTCCCAGCTCAGCCTGTCTCTCGTGACGGCTGCGGACGTACCGCTCGCCTGAGCCGGCGTCGATTTGTACAGACAGACCGGGTTTTCTGCGGCTGAGTGAGCGACAACAGGCGGTTGTTGGCCCTGTCGTGGATTTGATACGCCGCTATAAATCACCTCGCCGGGATTATCTCGAGCTGTTTTCATAGGCTGGCTCATCAGGTGTACTACGCTGAAGTGGAGTACACTCGCCTTATCGGTGCGCTGACACCAATCGTTACGTGGCTAGTTTGATGCCACATAAATAAAACCGGCCGCACTTGGTACGTTTATGGTCACACTCGTGGGCCCTTAACGGCGGCCTAACGGCGGGACGACCAATTCTGGCGCTCATTCCCTCCTCATGAGGACCATCCCATTAATGCTATTCCAAGGGATGTAGGTGGATTAGAGACGGGTAGTTTTATCGATGGGGGATTAGCCAGGAGTGAGGGGGAGGGGGCAGAGAAGCCTCAGGTGCACTCGCCGCCAGCTGGCTAGGGCTGTGCTCCTCCTCCCCCCCCCCCCCCTCCCAAGCCAGCCTGGTGAGCTGCTGTCTGCGCAAGCGGCTGTGATGATTTCTGGCCCGGGATAAGGGGATTAACGGCGCCAGGTCGGCGAGCAGCGGCGGGATGGGCGCGAATAAATCCCGCTCGTTATAGCGCGGCGACAACCAGATGCGCGCTGCGTTTGCCGCGGCCACATGTGCGTCACGGCGCTGCGCCGTTTTTGCGGCCGGCCTGGTCCGATTTCGCCGCGGCGCGCTGCTCCCACACGGCCTTGTGGCACGGAGACCGCGCCGCCCACCCGGTCACGCTGGAGACAAGCGGCCGGCAGCGGCGGGGACGGCGGCGGGGGCAGGTCGTGGGAACATAGCGACTGTCCGCGGGCCGTGATTAGCACCCGGCCCAGCTCGGTCGACCGGCGCGAAACCCGAGCCGGCGTAACGGTCAGCGCCAAGCGGCGGAGCAGCGGCGGGGAGGGGGGGGGGGGGGCGGCCCGGCCCAGCTAATGATGCCGTGTTTCGGCGCGGGCGCTGATGGTGCCGGCGCCGCTTCCGCCCGTGGTGCCGCCACTTCCGGCCCCGCCGCCCGGCGACCGGCGGGTCACGTGACCCCGCGTCGACGACGACGCGCCACCGGTCGGCCGCCGCGCCGCCGCGCCGTCGCCGCTTGATTTATCACCGGCGACCGTCTGTCGCGCCGCTTCCGTTCGCCATTATTGCGCGCGCCGAAAACGTCGCTGGAAAACATCGACAGCACGCGGAGGGAGGGGCGTCGGGCCCGCTGGCGGCGGGTGTAAGCTGGGGACGGGGGAGAGGGAGCAGCGGCGGCGGATGCTGCGCCACATGCGCGGTCGCCGCGAGATCGGCATTTGATGGCGCGCCGCGCAGGCTCGTCGGCGCGGGCCCACCCCTCGCGGACTCCTCGGATCGCTATTTCTGTCGCGAGCACGCTGCACGCGCAGGATTAATCGCCGTTTTGTTGAAGCGCGACACGGGGGGAGTGACGGACGCATCCGCCGGACAAATAAACTATTTATCAGCGGTAAGAGGTCCGTGGCGGCGCGCGATCGCCTGACGCGGCGCGGTGCGGCAGACGGCCGACCGCGCCCCCGCGCGCGCACACCGGCGCCCGTGCCAACGGACGTGTCCGGCGTCGGCAGGAGCGATTTGTCAGGTGCTCGGAGGCGCGGTCATTAACAGTCGGTCCCCGCGCGCCGATCGCGAGCGGCGTCGTTCATCACCCGCTGCAGGCCGCGTCGTAACTCGACCGCCGACGGTGGCCGGCCGGCGGCGGTCGTAACGACGCGGTCGTAACTCGGCGCGGCGGCCGGCCGCGGCGAGCGGCGCCGCCCTGCACCGGGAGCGCCGCGATGCGCCGAGATGTGTCGCTCCACGCACAGCCGTCTGGCGGCCAGATGCCGCGCCCCTCTCCGGCGGCGAGGGGACCGTCGCGGCGCGTCCCCGCCCCGCGCCGCTCGCACCACGTGTGCGCGACATCACGGCCGCCGGGAGCGGCGGCGCGACGCTCCCCAACGGTCTCCGACGCTGCCGGACGCCCTGGACGGCGGCGGAAGCGGCGGCGGCCACCCCGCCGCCGCCGCCGCCGCCGCCGCCGCTCATGGGGCGCGCACGTGCGCCCGCGTCTCAGCCGGCAGCCGGCCGGACCCGTCACTTAGCGGCCGTGCCCGGGCGCCGCGCCCCCGAGCACGTGCCCCTGCCCGTCACGCCGCGGGAAACTGCCGGGCGAGAGCGCGCCACGCAGCCGAGCGGCAGCGGCCGCACGCCGGCGCGGAGCTGGACGGAGCGGCCGACAAGTGGAACACGACGTGGCCGGCCCGGCTTCACCCGTTAGCGCGCCGTTTCGGAGCAGGTGCGGCGATGTTGACGCGGACGCGGCGCACCTGTGGTGGCGCCGCCGCCGCCGCCGCTGCCAGGAACAAAAGCAGGCACGCGGCTGCGGTTTTGGCAGGCGGCCTGCGCGGCTCATGCCTGGCCGGGCTGGAGACGCCGTGAAGCGATCTGCTGCTCCTGCAATGCGCCGGCCAGTTAGACAATCTGGCGGCCCATCTCGGCGCGTATCGCGCGGCATCGCGACTGTTGGCAGAAGCGGCGGCGGCAGCGGCGCGTGGCCCTGAGAAGGGGTGGGGAGGGCGAGGAGCGCAGGCTCGCTGTCCGTCCGCGATGATAACGCCTCACGGGGGGCTGCAGAGACGCGGGCCATCCTCGCCCCTCCGCGGCGGTCGCCCGCCCCACACACCGCCGGTGCGCGCCAGGGAGGGAGGGGAGGCCTCGGACGCGCGCCGCGTCGCTGCCGACGACGGAGGCGGCGGCCGTCGGACGCGCCGCCGCCGCTGATGGATCATGGGCCGAGTGATGTGATCTCGGCGATCGCTCACGGTCGGCGCCGTCACCTGGCCGCGTGACGTCACCCAGCTGCGTGACGTCGACGCCGATAGCCGACCGGCGCGACGGTCAGCAGAATGTGAGGCGCGCGAGGGAATTGCGACCGCACAGGAAGACAGTACCGTGGTCCCGGGTGGAAAGGGGAGACGGGGGAAGGAGGGGAGGGGGGGGGGGGGGCTTAAAATTGGGCTGATAGGTCTTCAACGATCTGGCTTCGGCACTGTGGCACCGATGGTTACGGCTCGTGTAAATTCTGAGTGGAAGCCTGCTGCCGTGTTCCTGTCGAAGGTTCGGCGCGTGCTGCCAATGTCCATGGCGAGGACTGCTCGAATTTCAGAACGTTTCTCGTTTTAGGCCACTGATTTTAATGAGGAAGAGTTACAGCGATTCCGCCACAAAATAGATGCAGTTTTGTGTATGTGGACCCCACATATGTTTTCAGCCGTCTTCCTCTTCCCCGGCGGCTGTCGCCTGGTGCGCACGGCTCTCAGCCCGCGCGTGAGGTGTCTGGAGACGGTCCGCTCCCCTGAGGCGTTTGGAGGCGGGCCTGATCCTCTGAGCGCCTGCTCCTCGCTCACCCCGCGTTTATCTCGCCACCTGTCCCGACTATCGCGAAACCAACGACTCGCCGGCCGGCCGGCTCTATCGCCGACCCGCTGATCTGGCGCGTGCGCTCTCACGCCGACATTCCGGTCTTACGATCACAGAACACTCTCACGCCGACATTCCGGTCTTACGATCACAGATACACTCTCACGCCGAACAATTCCGGGTGTCTTACGATCACCGAGGAACACTCTCACGCCGAACCATTCCGGTCTTACGATTCACAGAACACCTCTCATGCCGACATTCCGGTATTACGATTCACAGAACCACTCTCACGCCGACATTCGGTCTTACGATCACAGAACACTCTCACGCCGACATTCCGGTCTTACGATCACAGAACACTCTCACGCCGACATTCCGGTCTTACGATCACAGAACACTCTCACGCCGACATTCCGGTCTTACGATCACAGAACACTCTCACGCCGACATTCCGGTCTTACGATCACAGAACACTCTCACGCCGACATTCCGGTCTTACGATCACAGAACACTCTCACGCCGACATTCCGGTCTTACGATCACAGAACACTCTCATGCCGACAGACCGGCCTTACGACCACAGACCGCTCTGACGCGGACAAACTGCCCTTACGCCAACAGACTGCTCTTACGACTACAGACCGCTCTCACGCCGACATACCGCTCCCACGTTAATAGACCGGTCTTACGACCGCAGACCACTCTCACGCCAACAGACCAATCTCACGCTAACAGACCAGTCTCACGCCAACGAACCGCTCTCACGCCAACAGATCGCCCTCAAGCCAACAACAGATCGCCCTCAGGCCAACAGACCACTCCATTGCCAACAGACCGCCCTCAAGCCAACAGACCGCTGGCCGGACGAGCTTGCCCGCTGCGCCGGCGCGTTCCGCCGCCCGCCACCGGCCGACAGTTGTTTGCGGCGTCGCGCGTGGCGCGTCGCGCGCGACGGGCGGCGCGCGCCGGTGCCAAATGCAGCGCGCCCCGGTGTGCCAGCCGGCCGGCCGGGCTCGCCTTTCACAGCCGGTGTCTGTGCGGCCCGGCTGGGGCGGGGGCGGGGCGGGCGCTGTCGCCGGCGGCCGGCGACGACGTCTGGCAGGAACGCCGAGACGGAGAGGGTCGCTTCCGGGCTCGGTCGTGGCCTTTGGACTGGGTTATTGGCGTGACTGTATAGTCCTTGGCTCTGCTTAAGTCGGCAGCTGTCTCAGACCGGGCAGCCAGTCTTGTCTTCACTTATTGGCAGTTGTGTGTCTCGAATATGGTGCGGCAGCCTTGATCCGGTTCTCTCGAGATCCTGGCCATATGAAAGCAATCCTTGACCCAGGCACCATGGGTTCGGGCGTGAATGACTTCCGGCAGGGTCGCTGGCCCGACTCCACCGCCTCGGGCCGCGCCGGCCGTCAGCCGGCGGTGCGCTGCCAGGTCTGGCCGGCCCGCCAGCACCGCCGAGATGGGATGCGTTCCGCTCGCTGCTAATGAGATAGCGCCGAAACGAACCGCCGCCGCGCGTCGTCTGTCACTGGGCGGGCGTCAATCAACAAACGTCACCGGGGCGACGCCGCCGAGCGGCTGCGGAAGCAGGTGCTGGAGCCGCCGCCGCCGTCTCCTCCCCTCTCTGACCTCAGGGGACAGGGGGAGGGCTGGAGGAGCGGGCGCCGAAAAACGGCCCCTTGGGCACAGCCTGAGCCGTCCCGCGGGGCAGTTTTATGCCGCCCCTCGGGAGCCGCCCCTCCGGCCGAGCCGCAGTCAGCCCCCCCCCCCCCCTCTTCCTCCCCCTCGCTTCCCACCAGATCCGACCATCAGTCGCAGCACACGTGCCTTAAAACCCAGATGCCGCCGGAAAATCGGCCGCCGCCGGAAGCGTGGTGTAGCCGGCGCGAGCGGCGCTCGGTCGCGTTTCCGGCGGATCCCAGCCGTCGTGGCCGACGCGTCGGACGCGCGCGCACGTGGCCGCGGTTAAAGCGGCGCGCGGCGGCAGCTGCGGCGCCCCCGTCGACTCCGGCGCCGCGACGCGGCCCGGCCGGCGGCGCCCTAAAGCTATTCCGGGCCCGGTAATGACGCGCCGTGTCTGCGTTATGAGTTGAATCGGTGCCCGGGAATCCGCGCGCGCGCGGCGGGCACGTCCGCCGACCGACGCCGGCGGCTGTCGATCTCGACGGCCGCGCGTTTCCGGCCGCGACGCGGGTCGGGGGTAACCGGAGCCATCGATAATCGCGGCCTGTATTTATGCTCGCCGAGCAGAACGTCGCGACGTGTTTATGCTGCGGGACAAAGCGGTGGTGTTTTCCCCCGGTTGCGTCCCCGGGGCGCGGCTGGGCAGGGCCAGGCGCGACAGGCGCGGGCGGGCCAGGCACAGGCGCCGGCGCAGGCGTCTGCCGGCCAGGTGCTGGACGGCCGGCTCCTGCTGCGGCCAAACCCAAACACTGTCCGGCGCGCGGGCAACGGGGAGGGGAGCGCCGGACCGGCCATCGCGTGCCTGTCAGGCTCGGAGGCGGGAGGTCGGGACCAGAAGTGCGCTGGCCAGACACGTGACCGGCCGTATCCGGTCAGCTGGCGGATCCGGTCAGAGCCGGACGCCTTGATTGGACAGGTCAGGTCAGAGCTGGACGCCTTGATTGGACAGGTCAGGTCAGAGCCGGACGCCTTGATTGGACAGGTCAGGTCCGATTATTTGTCATCTGTCAGTTACAGCTGAGCCAGTTCGTTCCGAGGAGGGGAAGCAAGCTTAGTGCGCTTCGTCCAGCCAGAGACGGCCGTGTGACAAGTTGAAGATACCTGACCATTGCAATCCAGCCCCTCCATTTCACAACCATTTCAAGTCCCAGGCCATTTGCGGACGCCGCACGGAGCCGGGCTGGCATCCCAGCTCGTCTCGCAGCCTGCCGCCGCGCCGCGTGTGCCGCTGCAGTAGCCGAGCTGCTGCAGCGGCCGCCGCCAATCAACGCCCGCTAATCGATTCGGAGGCGTAATGACCGCGGCGTGGTGCGCGCACGCCCGTGTGGGGCCGGCGGTGAGCCGACGGAGCCGAAACCGGCCGGCGCGAGGCGGCAGGCGGCCCGGCGGCGGCGGCGGCGGCGGCCGGCCCCGCTGTCGAGCGATGAGGTCAGATCGGGTCAGGTAGAAGGTCCCGGGTCAGGAACGGGGCTGGCCATCGGGGGAGGGGCGAGCCGCGCCTGCAGACAGGCCGATGTGATGGCGGTCGATGTGCAGCTGGAAGCTGCATCCCGAAGCCGCCATGAATCCCGAGAAATGCGATGCTATCTTGACCGTTCCAGGCCTATTGCTTGTGAGCGGCGAGAACGATGTTCTTCGACCTCTGATTCTGCGCAGAGAGTGCAGTTGGCGCACGAGCGAATCTGGAGGGGGGGGGGGGGAGGGGCTGGTGCTTGCTCCTCAAGATGGCCAAATGTGGGCAAAAATAACTATTTTTTACTTAAACTCACCGATTCTTACTCAATAAGCCTTGTTTTGCAAAACGTCTTTAACTAAAAAAAAGAAGCAAAATCTAGTGAGTTTTTAAACCTGGACAGTTTCTAGGACTTCAGCTCTCCAGACTGGCGTTGCCCCCCCCCCCCGTTATTGCGTGGATCTGGACCCGCCCTTGAGTCCGCGCGATACGGTCAGTCCGGCCACGCTCCGTGGCTTCCAGCCGCAGTCCTCGTCCTGGAAGGCTCCATCTGATTCCGCATGACAAAATACCCCATGACCGCTCCAGTGGCGAACAAATCAGCATATTCGTGCATGAGGGCTGAGCAGCGCCCCAGCGCCAGAGAGCCCGGGCGCGCGGAATGACGCCACCGTCGCGCGCCGTTGGGCTGATGAATGCGGCGGTCAGCGGGCTGTCTCGTCGCGTCCTCGATGCCCGAGGGCGCCCCGGCGCTCGAGTGTGTTGTGCTGAGATAGGCGATGGTGGTGCCGATAAGGCGTGTGTAAGCACCGACGGACACGGGCGCGTTGAACGCGCCGGGTTCGCCGCTGCCGAGGCATTGTTGCGCTATCAGGACGGCGGCGGGGACCGGGTGACATGTTGGACAACGCTGCTGACCGTGCACCCGGCAGCGACGGCGCCGCATTAGCCGTGGTGTCGGACAGCACTGCCTTCTCTGCAGCTGTGCCCAGTCAGATGCCAGATAACAATACCCTCTCCGCGGCTGGCTACGAGGGCGCCACACCCGGCGGTGTGTCGGACAGCTCTGCCGCCCATGCGCCGGGTGAAGACGATGTCGTACCCGGCGGGGCTCGTCGCCGCCGAACCCCACGCCTCCGCCCCCCCCCCCCCCCGCGCCTGGCGAGGAGCCCGCTGACCTCGGACGCTGCTCGAGCGACGATCGCGGCCGTCGTCGGGAGAAGCATGCGGGCTCGCTCCGTGCAGAGTCGCCGCACGGAGCGCTGGCTCGGTCCGGCCGGCGTGTTTGCCCGCGCTCAACAGCGGCTCGTTTACATGGGAAGCACACACGCTGGCCGGCTCGAGTGCAAGGTCTAAAATCGCGCCGAGCACCGCCGCGTCTTGCGCAAGCCGCCGCCGCTGTGCGCAGCTGTGGACACGCGAATCTGACTGTGCACTGTGCACTGTGCACGATTTGCACGACAATGGGCCGGTCGGCGCCCAAGCGCGCGATTTATGGGTGCCCACTTCACGCGCTATTAGCGGCCGCGGCTGGGCGGCGGTTTGGATGATGCGAGACGGAGACTGCCGTCGCCAACAGCGCCGCTGCGCCGCCGTCCAGTGAAAGCGCCGTTTTATTGGCTGCGCTCCGCGCGCGCCGTCTCCAGCCGCATGCTAAAATCTCGCGCTGCCGCGCGCGACGTGGAGCAACTCGCGCGCGTCCGGCGCCGCGTGCCCGCGTCGCGTCTCCGCCGCCGCCGCGGCCTCTCGATCTGTCGCGAGGCGTCGCACCTGCCCGCGGGCTCGCGGCGGCCTCTTCAAAGCGGCGCGAGGTGCTCTGTCACGGACGGCGCGCGCGCCCCGGCTTTGTCGGCGTCTGGTTCGCATGCGCGTCGCGTCTGCTCGCGTTTTGCCCCGGTCAGCGCTGGCCGGGCGCGTCATGGTCGAATCGCGCCCACGATGACGGGGCAGAAGCGGCTTTTGAGGCTTTCTGACTGGCCCGCTGACGTCGGCCTGCGCAGACGTCCGGCGCGCTTCTTGCTCACGGGGAAACTTCGGGCAGCCCGCGCCATGCCACTGTGGTGATTGCCTGTCGGCTGCATCGACACCACGTGAGGAATCAGCGACGGGGCACCTCGCCGGCCGGGCGGGCGCGGCTGACGTCAGGGCGTCAGCGGCGTCGGCCCGTCCAACTTCAGCGTCATCGGAGCTGATGTCGCCGCCGGCTTCGTCGGGCGACGCCGGGCTGGACGCCGGCGCCGCCGGTGACACTGAGAGGCAGGCGCATGGGACCCACGGGTCACCGGGATCATGCATGGGATTCGCGGGCCACCAGGGTCGCCGTACGACCGGGACAACTGAGCGACGTCACGGACGCATCACGGGCGCTCGGACCGCCGGGGCCGCCGGCAGCACCATACGCCGGCGGCGCTGGTCGCTGTCGGGAGCACGAGCTGCTGTCCGGCAGCCGGATCACCAGCATGCTCAAGCGGCTGACGGTGGCAGGCGACGGCGACATTCTGGCCGCTGGGCCTCCCGGCGCCAGGGGCCGCTCGGCCGCCGCGCCGTCCCCGGCCGTGCGGGTCTCCGTGCCGGACCGGACACCGCGCGCGCGCAGCATACCAAGCGGCGGCGCGCGGCCGGGCGGCCGCGGTGACGCGCACGGCGCACTGATTGTGATTACGGTCATTACGCGCGCCCGGTCGGCACCTGTTGTGAGCGGCGGCGGGTTTTGGCGCGGCGGGCGCGCCTTTTTGCGCGCCGTGTTGTGTAAACGGCTCGGCGGGCGGCGCGGGGCGAGGGTGCTGACGTGGGCCGCTGCCGGCAGAAATAGCCCGCGCGAGGTGGCTCACCGAGCGGGCCGACTGCCGCGCGCTGGAATGCTGCGTTTGAGGGCCGATCGGAGCGGGGTGTGATGCGTGCAACAGGTGCCGGACAGCGGCATTCGGAAAATGTGGCGCGCGGCAGCTGGATGGGAGCCGAGAGGCACTTTGCGATTGAGAAATGAGACCATTTGCTCGGTTACTGCATCCATGTTTCATGATGCTACAGGCTTGATGACGCAACCAGGGACGTAGTTTCGCAACATGAGTGGGGCGGGGAAGGGAAGCCCGGCAGTAAAAAATGGCTGGGCCTACCTCCAAAAATATGTCAAAGCTGGGTTTCTCCTCGTGTTCGTGCCACTTTCATCTCAGAGTCGCTACGCTCGGGTGCCCCTTCAGTGACCCTTCAGTGCCCCTTCAGTTGAAAAGGACGCTACACCCCTGGGAGCTTCCTATGCTTTACGACACTGT